CACTGGGGGGTCTGAAAAATCGTTAAATTTAGCAACAAAGTTGCTAGGTTGGCAACACTAGGCTGGAGAGAGAGAGGTCCTATGGTACGTCTCTTATAGAGAGAGCATACACTGTGAGGAAAATGATTGACACCTATCTACTGCAGAAGCAGAGAGAAGTCAACACTGTAAGTCAACGCCAACACGCCGTTTTTTAAGTCCATAATAGGGCTGGGACTATTCGTCAACGTATAAGACTACAGAGATTTGTCAATGCAAAAAAACACGTGTCAGCGCATCGCAAAATGATGTAGACAATGGCTACTTGAGGTAACAGTGAAAGCATGGATGGCAAACGAGCTCCACATAATGGGGTCGAATTGAAACCTACTTCAGCATGATCTATGAGCAGCTCCTCTCAATCATTGCATGTGTTCTCCCGGGCTTCCTCGTTCACATTTCTAAGATCGCGCTGCTTTCAGGGAGACATGCAGTGACCTGTCAATCATATAACACACAGCTGCTGCAGCAAACGCCACAGTGAACCCTGCATCATACGCCCTGCATCCCATAACTAATTCATTCACTTTAAGCAGTTAGCTCGGAGTTGAAGCATCAGTTTTGTGCTTTTATTTGTCCTTCAACTCGCTAATCAATCAGCTGTGTGAGTCCGAGTCCGAGGTAGATCCATTTAAGGAAAAAAAACCTCATTTTTAAGGTGTGGTGGCTTTTATTTAACCATAGACGGTGCGCAAGCAGCAATGTTAACAAACACTGTTGCCAGCGTAATGACGACCGCGGCCCACAATGCATTGTGACATAATGTGCCTTTTCATTATTTTTATTACTATCATTATTATTGTTATTTCATTGATACAGCCTCCATTGTTACATAACACATTTTACAACAAAGCATACTGGCTATCATACAAACATGTCCAGAGTTTCTAGGAAATCAAAGGGAAACAATTACATAATAAATATATATAATAATTCATGAAATAATTTCGAGCCCTATAATTCCCAGCCATGCATTTCATTTATGCAATCTTGTAATAGATTTTATGTTACCATTTTTTGGTTTTGCTAATATTTTGTTTCACAATTGGTTGTGTGGCACTGACTTTCTCACTATTAAATGAAAGATGGTATGCAAGTTATTTATTGTTACTTGACAGTCATTGTAACTATGAGTAAGTTCAGCATGCACCTGTTAAGGGAGGCTGCTAAGCAACAATAACCTATCAGGCTGGTTATCCTAAAATGGTATACTGCGGTTCACAGTATGTCACCCAGCACTAAGTGCAAGCTTTTGGCAAAGTTTTACTTACAGTTGACTTTAGATAAGCTAAAAAGCAATGTTAAGTGCTTTGTGAATTTAAAAAAAAAGCATTGATTTGTTTTGTTTGATTTCAGTTAAAAAAAGAAAATCATTAGAATAATCCATAAATTAGTTGATAGATTAGTCAACTCATCAAAAAAATAATGGTTAGATTAAACAGTAAAAAAATAATTGTTAGGTGCAGCCCTAGTCTATAATATGATAAAGAGCAATGCATATATCCCTAATATCAATTAGTATTGGCAAACTTTAGATCTTGATTTATGAAAGGGTTAAGTACATTTCAAACCTCTTTCCCATCGAAATTAGTGTGGCTAACCGTGCTTTTTTAACCCACTTACTATTGGCATGAGATCCTTTTCTTACTGCAGGGGGTACACAACAGCGTTAAGATGGTTATGTGTTTTTTCTAGACTCCTTAAAGGCTTTTGAAACAATTAAACATTCTTTTATGTTGAAAATGTTGTATCTCTTGGTAACACAAGCAGATTGACATTATATTGGCAACACAACTGTTAATACTACTAATCAATAATTCCACTGACATACAAGGAATAACCATTGTTAATCAAGAATTTAAAACAAATCAATTTGTAGATGACACATCTCTCTTTTTTAAATGTAAGTCAATGATAGATAAAACACTCAGTATTATCTAAATCTTTCCTAAAGCATCTAGCATCAAAAGATGCAAACTACTCCCTATTCATACTTGATGTGATTCCTCCATATCTAGGGTTATCAATATCTAAAAACGTAGGCCTCTAAATTTGTGCCCGCCAGCGGCGCTATTTTCAGCGCACCTAGATAGAACCATTCTATCTAAAGCTAAGAGTATTTCCAAATTGATTTATCCCTGTCACTCCCAATATCTCCTCTAAAAAAAACATAAAACTAACACAATTATTTTCAAATTTTTGTGGAGGAATAAAACCTACCAAATTAAAAAGTCTCAGCTTGTGACGGAGTGTGATAATAGGTGGTATCAAAGCCCCAGAATTTCAATCTACGGTTGGCACCTTTAGAGTTAAGTGGATGAAATCTCCGTAAGTCCCAGCCAGACTCCACGTGGTCCAACCTTCCAAGGTCCTTGTTTGAAAAAATATAGGGTTTACACTTTATTTTGAAATGTGATTATAAGGTGAACAGGATCCCAATCAGTCTATCTAATTTTCACATGCAGATGTGAAAATATTTACCCATAACTTTTCTCCCTATAATTCAGCCTTGTAGAAATACACTTTTCACAGCGATTGGTTAAAGAAAGACATTATATCTATATTATAGGTCTATTGGTTGATGACAGTAAAATTTTAAGTTTCACAGACTTTGCAGAAAAATATAATCGAAACCGTTCTCACAAAGAATATAACAACTTATGTAAACTGTGTCCTCTGATTCACTTGATTAAAAACTTTATGTACAATAATTCCTCATCAGTACTACCAAATGTATTCATAGGACATTGTAATCTGATGGATTAAAACATAATAGATTTATTAGGTTTTTTTTTTTAAGCCAAGATGTTTTATGGTTGTGACAAAAGATAAATTGGCAATCTAAATCTAATTGTGTTATTTAGGGTACAATAGACAAAGCATACTCTAAATTTACAAAATGGCCTATTTTAACCTTAAGTCGAAGAAACACGCTTAAAGTCACGAACAAAATTTATCCTGTGGCAGAACTTCTTAAAGAGTTTTGGTTTTAAAGTGAATCAGTTTTCCTTTTTGTAATAAGGAAATGAAACTTGGAACATCAGTTTGTTTGGTTGTTTGTTTGTTTGTTTGTTTTTAATGCCACACCAAATGCTTTGTTTAATGCTTTTGAAATATGATATCTCTGATAACTAATGATAAGCCGCCATTTAAATTATATCATTCCATTTGGATCAGCTAACCCTGTATGTTTCAGACAGTATTAAAATCATTATACTGTTGGGTAAATATCATATCCATTGTCCTAAATGAAGGAACTCTAAGCCGTCCCTCCCAGGTTTTGTCACTATTGATTTGAAGTTATTTCTTTATTGCTTAAAAGGATAAAGAGCAAATATGCCAAAGAAACTAAGCTGTTGTGTTTGACAGCATGCTTATTAATGCACCTATTATGCTTCCTCAGTTAGCATGGCGTTGAACACAACAGAGCATGGATGGATGTTCTGATGTTCTGGACTTCAGGACTATTTTCTATTTCTTTACTACAATATACCTCCAGACCAAAAAGCAGTTTTACATTGCTAAGATTTTAGATCTAGGTCTTTGTTGTTCTCCTTATTACCTTTTTTTCTTTTCTTTTTTTTTTTTAACAACAAAGCCCTTGGAGTTGCATGCTAAGACAATTTCCACATGGTTTATGCTGCCTGGAGATACAAACATGACAGGTCTCTCCCCAACTCAAAGGCCTGAGAACCTCTTCAGCTCCAAGCATGAGAGGAATTCAAAGATTTCCTTCATCTTTCTTCAATAAAGACACTACTTCAAGAGACTAAGTCTGTATGTCATTATCCATACAGTTGTGCCCACTTTAGAGAACAGAGACCCTAACTTAAAGCAACTCTTGGACAAATTATTTATACATTCCATGTAAACGGTCGAGAATTTCTTGCAGTACCACATGAGAGCAAGGTATATAAGCTACTTTGGACTATTCTGTGACAGTCTGCAGTGCTGAACATGTACAAAAGTGCATGGAATAAAGGAAAGCCTTGCAGGAAAGAGCCTTTGCAGGCAGTAAGATGTAAACAACACCCTCCTCTCTCTGCACTTTGAATCACCTGCCTTTTGAAGCACACCTTAGCTACCACACTGATCAATCACTTGGTGTTTAACATCTTGGTGTCATAACCTAGTGTGTTCTAGAGTATTCATATGATGAGTGCTGGTGTGTGCAGAGGAGTGTTCTCATCAGCCAGAGACTGAGCAAGTAGTGCTCCAGCAGACATTTATCTTCTTATGTAACTAGACTAGCATTAGCACATGCTGGCTAAATGTTGCCTGTACTCAGCAAAACATCAGTTGAAGGCTGTTGTCCATGCATTTTTCAGCCTGAGCAAATAAAGTTGGGCAGATTTCCTCAAGACATGATTCCCACCTACAAATGTATTGATCTGAGATGTGTCCCAACCCAGCACCGCATTCCCATTACCCAAGGACAGACTAAACAGCTTTACTACCAGATCTGTCATTATTTCTTTCACTAGCTTGGATCAGCTGCAACTGTTGAACAATAGTGTCTAACAACCATATTACTGTCATGATTTCTGTGTTGTTGACTTTCTGCTTAGTATCTCTCCTGTTGTTTCCCTAATGCCAGGTCTGACAGAAACAAGTTAAATCTTAGGGGATTAAACTGAAGGCACGCAACAGCTGTGGCATTTAGGTAAGAAAATGTGGAGGGAAATGCATTGCATCATCTGAACACAGCAGGGCCTGAAGTAGGTATGAGCAGAAGAGGCCCCATCCTGCCTGTATGATTAACAAAGATGGCATGTTGTACAATTGCCAATCAGCACAGAAAAGCATAGAGCATGTTTTTTTACTAAACACAGATGAACAGAGAGCAACTTGAAGAGACTTGGCATAACTGAGCACACAACATGCTGTGCTAGCAACATTTCAAAAGAATGAGCATGTCTGCAACCTTAGATTCACTGTTGGCATTGAGGAAATAATTCCCTGCCGAGGATCACTTAGTTAATGGTACAATGTCTGTTTTAACAGGTCTCAGAGTTAAGAAAAGCAAAGAGTTTCATAATTCCATCCAAGCCTTTGTGAAAGTGCCATGAAAAGATCAAACATGCAGTCCAGCAGCTTCTGTGTAATATGCAGTCTTTCCATATTAGAGGACTGATAAACAACCAGTGTTTTTCTTCACACATTAACTGCATAAGTAACAACAGCGATTTGACAGCTAGTACAACTATCAAAAATATGGCAGCAACTTGTGCTAATGTTTTCATTAAATCTCTTCGTTCTTCACGTTCTTATGAACAGTTTTCCGGTGTAAATGAGAGTAACACCTCGTGGCCGTATGGCAGCAGTGAGCTGGAGGATCCAGAGCACCACCATGCGCATCCTTTCTTGACTCTGCCTCGATCCGCGTTTAGGTCATTCACAAAAAAAAAGCAGATTGACACCACTACCGTCCTACGATTCTTTTTTTTATTTTGGGGGGCGTTAACTCGCCTGAGGCATTCTGAAGATGTTCACCTTTGAAGAATTGCAGCCATACACGAAATACAACCTTTGTGTCTCAATTAAATCGCGCTGTACAGCAGCAGCTGAGCGGAATGTTTTCAGGTCACATAGTATGTTTTACGCGGTGGTTCGCTGTCACCACACGGGTAAAATATGCCTCATTCTTACATGCAAACACAAACGTCTGCGTCGCCTCGACAGGGAGAAGCCCGTTTCCTTACTCCGACGACCGTAATAATGTATAGAACAAATGAGGTAGGCTTCATAGGCTATCTGTGATGCAGACGATATCTGACCCACTTTCTCACCTAGTAAATCCGCGGTGGCGTCGGTTGTAGGACAGTATCCCTGTTCCAGTCAAGCGGGGCCGATGAGCTGGACAGCCGGGTAAAGATGCGAGGATGCGCAGCTTGCTTCGGACGCCTTCCTGTGTTTTTGAAGATCAGCGGCGAAGGACCGGTATTCGTCTGCTCGCTGGCCTACTGCTGCCTCCACTTCTTACTGCACACTCATCCAATCACACACACCGGACTAGCTGGGTGACTGTCTAGGTGGCCTTTGGCTACAATAGTCGAGCCCTGAAAACCATGTTATCGTGCAGGCGAAAGGCAGCAGTGACAGTGCTGCGGTGCTGCTACTACTGCTGCTGCTGCTGGTGTTTCCTTTCCTCCGCAGGCAGGGCCGGGACGATGAAGCAGCGGATGATAGTGTTTGAGTGCGGGGCGACGCTGAAGTAGGCTTAAATGGGGGGGATGGTTTCGTTGGGATTGCGTGGTGGGGGTTCAATTAGACAGCGCAGCGCCTATTGGCACCGTCCTTGCGCACAGCCCTCCTCCAACTTCCTCCCATCTTTTTCTTTCTCTCCTCCTCCTGGTCCTCACTCTCAGTCATAGAAGTAGCAGAGTCTGAGTGATGGTGCATCATGCTGTGTGTAATATATCCCCCTATTTACTACGCTATATTTATCAGTGATAAAGACAGAGTATTTCTATTTGTGGTCACTTTGATGATTGAGTTGAACTGAAACATATGGTTAAACTTTAATATGCGAACAGGGGCCTATCCACAAGAAATGCAAGTCCTTCCTTCATTCATTTAATACTATCATCATCACTTTTATTATTATATTGTTCATTAGTCAAAACCCCATAACAAGAGTTATTTATTCTGAATAGTAAAGGTAACACCAAGAACAGCCTGAGCAAACATTTCAAATCAATCTGCAGAAAAGACTCTAGGCTGATGTAACTATAGTTAACCCTAAATAACTCTTATGAGCCTCCCATTGGATAAAGAGGACGTTTGTATGGTTCATCAAAACAAACCTTTGCCAAAGTTTGGGGAGTAGAGAGATTACAAAGGAGATTTTTGTTCACATAAGCATGGGTAAACACTGATGTAAAAAGTGGGGTTGAGTGGGGTGATTTGCTGACTGATGGGTGTGGTTTCTCTGTCTGTATGTGTGTGGATGTTTTAAAGCGATGTTCATTTGCTGATGGCCATGTGTAAAATGAGAGTCCTAGTTTATGAGGTGGAGCAAAAAGTGATGCTCTACTTTGGGACTTAATGAGTTTGCCTTTCCTGAAAGTGGGGTGTCCAGGGAGCTTATCCTTCCCCGTCCTTTCTCTTCTTCCAGGCCTGAGAACAGAGAGGCAGCAGAAAATTAGATGTAAATGTTGTAGTTCCTTCAAATTTTAAAATGATACACCATGATACAGAGGGAATAAAGTATGATAAATTTAGGATGTATCAGTATGATCAATTTTTAGCTGTTAAAATAAAATGTGTGCATATTTTATGAAATGAAATTGATCCAAGTGCACTAAAATTTAGTTTTTTCCTCTTTGTCTTTATTTACTCCGAAGTATGAGAGGTGAAAAGAAGATGGAATGCATCTGAATCTGGATCTTTTAGAGGACAGATGAGCAGATATTTGGCTGTACTTTACAGATGAGAGGCTCAACAAGTCTTGTTTTCATTCGACAGGCTAGTACGATTTTATTTACAAACTCTTTGAATGTGTGTTCGCTTTGATCACTCCTTTATAGTTGTAGATTGATTGTTTGTTTCGGGGTTAAAACTGTATGTCTTTGTTATTCAAAAGGAAAGCTTGGCAACAGACTGACCGGTGGGAGCATTTGATCATCGCTGGAATATTATTAAACTGATAAAGCATTTTTGAATAGGTTCAAATACAGGGAAAATTTATGGATGATGCTTATTATTATGACTTTGCCTTTGTGTTGAGAAAGCCCTTGTTTTTCTCTGGCATTGGCAAATTCATTCTGTTTTTCTTATATAGTATCTTAAATGAAGCATTACCTGAGAAACCTTTTTTGGTTAGTTAAGGCCCTAGCCGACGCTGAGAGCCCTTTTAAAATTGCAGAAATTATTATTTTTTTTTTCTTCTTCTTCTTCTTCTTCTTCTTCTTATTATTATTATTATTATTATTATTATTCTTTCTGAACTTTTTGCAACTTTTACACCCTTGAGACATGCTTGAAAACTCCTGAAATTTGCCAGGCGGGTGGGGCCTGGCGTAAATTAGCATATTTTGCCCAAATTTCCCCTACAAAATTTCAAATTGTAAGCCTTGGTCCTGTATGTGACCCAAACCTATGGAATCATTGACACTTATGATGGACCCCAGGACGAACTAAAAGGGCTCCAATGTCAAAACGGAGATCCAACTAAAAATGGCTCCAAAGCGCCCCCCACGAAATTTCAAACGGTAAGCCTTGCTTCTGTATGTGACCCAAACCTATAGAATCAATAACACTTGTTCTGGACACCAAGACGAACAAAAGAGGGAGGCGGTCCACAGATGTGGCGTCATGGCAAAGCTCAGGCCCGTTGGTGCCATGTGGAGGGCTTGTTGGTTTTGAATTTGTAGAAAAGTTTAAGGGTCTTGCTTGTGTCTACTTATAAAAGAAAGCGAAAGAAAAGAAAGGACGAAATAGACAAAAATGTTCAAGGTCCCCTATTATGAAAAATCCACATTTGGGTGGTTTCCCCTCGAAGCTGACAACCCCTCAACATGAAAAAATTTCATTCTTTCCCTCTCTTGCTTTCCTCTCCTCTCTGAAAACATGAGCGCAAACAGGTGTATGGAAAAGCTGTGCGGTTATGTCGATATAATCGCATTATCCCCCCTACATGTTAGAGGCAGCACCCCGATAATTGTTAGCCCAGCCCTATAAAACTTCTTTGCTGAGGTAGTGTCTGCCATTTTTCCCCTTGCATGCGCCGATCCGGTACAGCAACCACCCCGAAGCTATGATCCAGCCACTGTGTGGTTCTTGGCTGCACAAATGAAGACAAGAGTCTATTTCTGCCCCCTTTAACGTAAGATTTGAGGACCCAGTGAATTGATTTTATTTTTAATGAAAATGTACCCGCAACAACTCTAAAAAATGTTGTATGTGTGTGCTAACCATTTCACCATGGACTGCTTTACCAATGAGGGGCAGATTAAAGCAGGATTCGCTAAGAAGCTGAAGATAAAACCTTGATCAGTACCAACTGTCCGTGTCAGGAACCCAACTTCAAACGTGGAAGCTGTACGTTCTACCATTTTATGTTGTTTGACCGCCTGTATAACTAGTGCTTTGGCTGCAATCACGTGTGTTTACCATCGTTGGTATTCATTGTTGGTTTCATTTCTATTTACTTTTATTCCTGTGAGCAGCAGGTGTTCCTCGGGGGTGCGGAGGCAAGTTGGTGCCACAGTGGGCTGGAGGCCCTCTGAAGAGGTCCTCAGAAGAGCTCCAGACCACCGCTCCTGGACCACTGTGGCGGTGGGTACAGGCTGGCTGATATCCACAAATAAACTGGTGTTTTAGACAACAAACATCAAATTTACTCGTGTGCGATCTCTAGGATCGATTTAAACTTGATGAAAAATGCCATAATAGGAGACCTTTAAGGAAACAGAAAAGCTGATGGCAAAAGTAAATGCACCCTTCTTACATACGGCCCAAGGAAAGAGTCCCCCACCTTATGAGAGAGAGTTAAAGTTCACTGATGTTTATCCTCAGCTCCCAGTAATTAAACAGGAGGGTAACTATCACATCAAAGATGAAGAATAGAGAATAATAGAGACAGGAAATGCTAAAACAACTGTAAAGATGTACCGAAGTAATAAAAGTAAAAAGAAAGCAGGACGTCCAGCAAGTAGCAGTCAACAAAGATTTAAAAAAATAGAAATGGGAGATGAAAGTCAGAGTGATGTGGGTGAGGCCATTGGAGGTTATGACCCAGCAGTTAGATGGGTATTAGCCAAAGCAGGGAAAATAGGAGAAAAATCACAGAGGAAAAAAGAAACTAGTAAGGGACACCACTGAGGAGAGTGAAAATGAGGATAGAGAAGAAGATTCAGAAAGTGAGGGACCTTCATATTCCACCCTGTTAGTGTCCAGTTCTGAATCTGCTTATGAGAGACAGAGGGCTTTAGTAAAAAAGATTGAGGGAAGTATAAATAGATGTCTTACAGACATGAATAAATCTACCAGTCCAGAAAGCCACGAAGAAGAAAAAGTCAGAAAGTTAGACACTTCACAATATGCATTACGCCCAAGAAAAGAGGATAAGCCATCTGATAAAATGTGTCCAGTAGTTGTCCAATCAAAGAATTTAGAGTATAAGCCTTTGCAGAGGACAGATATGTCAGATATCCTTGAAAAGTTACCTACTCCTCAGAATGGAACACATCCTTGAAATCCAAAGTTGGAAGAAGATATGGTGAGATGGCAGCTGGCCATGAGAGATATTAAGAGATTCTTAGCTAGCCTCTTAGGGGTTCCAGTTATGGAAGAGATCTGGCAGAGAGCAGGACTTAATCGATATGCGGGGACTGCTGTGAATGATCCAGAGCTGTTTGCTGTTAGTAGAGCTCGGATGTGGAGAACATTGAGAGATACATTTCCAACAAATGTACATCCTGATAATATTTTCATCGAACCACTGGGGCTATAGGAGAGTGCAAGAGCTTATGCATCTCAGGGCTCTATTTTCGTGCCTCGCCGGAGACGTGCCGCAGGCGCGGCGTAAGTCAGGTCCGCCGCGCCGACAAGGTGTTCTCAAGCACATTTTGGTATTTTGGTGAGCGGCGCAGCCCGGCGTAAGTATCCCCCCTCTCTAACTCAGCTCCTCCCAGCGGCGCAAGTCGTAAGGAGGGAAGAGAGAGGGCGTGGAGTGGGTTTAACACAGCCGAGACCGGTATTGACCAATAACATAAGCTCCTCTCCTCGCCTTTAAATCCGCAACCGGCGAGGCGTATTACTATTTTCATGCAGTACTCAAAGTGATCAAGAGATGTGTAAAGAAAGCAATGCCACACGATGGCGACAGAAGGCAGCCCCTCAACAAGTGTCACTGTAAGCGCTGCATTGGGCATCCTCCACACTCTCTCATATGAGCACAGATGGATTTGGTGTGTGTAATGTTGGACCCACTGGTAAGACAAACACCCTTTTCCACAAATAAAGACACTCACATAAAGTTGCATATATTCAAACCTCACGTGACAAAGGTGGGTTGTGCGCACAGATCACAACATAAATTCCAATAATGGCATTAAAATCGGAACCATCTGTGCGTAAATGACGCATCGCGCTCCGTGGCCTGGCTCTTTCTTTCATAGATGTCGGCATATAAAATAAATTTGCCTCACAAAACTGAATATTATAATATTCGTATGTAGGCTTAAAGTAAATAACTCATCTGATCACTGAAACAAATCATCTGTTCAGCCGCAGCTGCAGCAGGACGGAGAGAGGACACGGAGACATGTCCAGGTCGAGCTGCACGAGAAATAAGAGTAAGAGGAAGAAAGAAAAGGAGGGAGACAAATTACATATCTTGTTAACTTCATCATGTGTGTTTATTTACTAGATATTTAATTTAATTTAATGCGGTTTCAGCTGTGCTGATTCGGTCAGGTTGTGTGTCCAAATGCGTGCCAAACGCGCTCATCAGATCAGATATAGATCAGAATATATCTTTATAGATCTAAATGTATGTGCTGACTCAGATTATTAGTTGTTGATGATTATTTATTGCACTGAAATGTTCCTGACACTGTGGAAACCTGCCGTTGAGGCATCTGTGATGTATGCCGATACGCCGCCGGTCTACCAAAATACCTCTAGACCAGCTGCGCTCCGCCTGCGGGTTTGAATCAGCGAGCTTTCAGCGCACTTTACAGGCCACTGGCGAGCACAAAAATGTCACTGCGCCCGCTGATTCTGTCAACACCTCCCCCTGCCACGCCACCACGCCCAGCTTGGCGGATCTCGGTTCGCATCCGTGCGCCTCAGTCCACAAAAATACCAAACTGGCTGTACGCCGGGCTCCACCAGACGAAAATACAACTGCGTGGGGACCGCCACCCTCCGCTGCCTCACCGGCGTCCACGAAAATAGAGCCCAAAGACTCATCAAGTGTGGAGAAATGTGTCAGGAAATGATCCAGATATGCACCAAATGGAACAGTCCATTTTGTGAGCTAAAACACAAAAAGGCTAAATTGGCAGAGGTGGTTGGTCTTGTTAGTATGACAAAAGGTGCAAACTCAGACAATATATCACATCAAGTAGAGGTATAAAGGAAGAAAGAAGAGGGTCAGAGAGAGAGCAGGATCAAGAGACTCTAAGGAAACTTAACCAAACACAGTTGTAGATGGTTAGGAAGAGAAGAAACATGTTGTCAGTCTCAGTCCAATCAATCACAATCACAACCACAGCAGGAGCAGATTCAGTGTCAACCCAAAGTTCTTTTGGTCACTTATGAAGTGGACTGAGAAGATAAAATCGTTCTCATAGATGTGGTTTCAATACAAGAAGCTGCTTCTTCAATGGATAAGCAATTGTGGCTTGACTGAGGAGCCACTCAAGATTCTACAGGTTTGTGGCAGAGTCATGAAGAGTTGATGGAGGCAACCTCAGACCTGGTTGGTGTCATGATTCTGGACAAATATAAGTTAGGCCATGTTGCAAAGGGGAAAGTTAGGAGAAAACTCACAAAAGAGTATGGTTTTTAGGCACTGTACCTGTTTGAGCAAATTAATTATGTAATATGAAGATGCACAATCTGTCTGAAAAACAATGATCGGAGGGTACAATTAAAAATGTTTTGTTAAGATTTGCGAGCACATAGGTTTAAATTGAATAAATTGAAATGGTGTTAAAATATAACAATGAAATTACTGCATAACAATATGTTGTACAAAAGTTTGTTTTTGCAAGATACTGCTAGGTTGTTGTTGTTTTTTTGTTTTTTTTCCATTCCCAGGACAACACTAGGGTAGACCAGCTAGAGAAAGGCTGTTCTTCAGAGATCAATACAACTTAAATGGACTCTTATACTCCACTATGAACAATCAAACATGGAAAATGAAACCAGATAGGACATTGTTTATGATATTCTGATATGGAATAATATTGGTAGTACATTGAACTAGTAGCTAATGCTGCTGAGGAGCAACAGTTTGGAATGTTATTGTAATTTTTTTTTATTATTGGAGTTCATTTCCTTTCCATCCAGGATAACCCCCACCACCCTCTCCACAGCACCATCTCCAGCCAGAGGAGCTCCTTCAGTGACGGGCTGTTATCAGTGCCGTCCCGCACTGCCAGATTGAGGAGGTTATTTGTCCCCCAGGCTATTCGGCTCTTCAACTACTCCCTCTGAGGAGCCCTGTCTGAACACCCCCCCCCCGATACACAAGATATCCCATCCATGAACAATCCATCAGCATCTGCATGTTTTGCACTACTGCATCTATTTGCACAGTTTACTATGGTGCCGCCTCTGTCTGTCTGTCTGTCTGTCTGTCTATTTATTTCTTGTGTCCCAAATCACATACTTCCAGTACTAAATGCTTAAAATTTTGAGTATACTCAACTCAAAATGGAAAAAAGCATGGATAGTGTGCGAAAATTGAGTAGGCAAAAGTACCTGGACCACGTACTCAAATCGGTCAAGATTTTGAGTGTCCGACTGTGGACACTCGCCGGCAATTATTTCATTAGTAATAATGGCTGCGGACGGCTGTGGTGCCAGTGGGTCGGCGACGGTCGACCTGGGAGCTTTGAACAGATGTAAGTAATAAGTTGCCTTTTGCTTATGTTCTTTTCACCAAGCACCACCAGCGTTTATCATTTTGAGTATATTTGTGGTGTAACCTGGTAACTTGTTTGTCTTTTGCTGCAAACAGTATCGGGAATGCTAGTTAGCTAGTAGCCGCCAGGTTTCAAAGTGTTACCCGTGGCAAATAAAAAACAACCAGCGAGTCTGCTGCACCGATATCAGCAAAGCCTTCGCTGTAGAGATGGCTAGTATTAGAACCGTAGGGAGAGGTCCATCATAAACACTCAAAAATACGGCAGCTATTGTTGGCTGGCAAGGCTAACTAGCCTGTTTAGGGACAGACGAGGACACCAGGAGCCTCCCTGTTCACCGGGAGGCGTAATGCTTCAATCTGTGGTTCTGAGTAAGTGAATGCTCAAGTTATAATATTAAACTATTGTTACATATTGTATGAAACGTTCTGTAAAAATTCCTGCCAGGGCATTCATTGCAGAAAAAGGGCTGGAGGGAAGGGTAACCCCAGCCTTTGTAAAAAAAGAAATGTGAGAACTTAAAGCAGAAATAGAAGGTTTGTTCGATGTAATTTCGCTATAAGTTGATTCTTTATGGTGTGCACTCTGGTACGCCGTCATTATTACATAATTACATTACAATCAGGGGCAGGTTATCCATCACACCGCCTGTCCTCATTGCCTCACTCTCCCAGGATGCTGCGGTGGTCTCACCCTATTCTGTGGTCAGCCCAGGAGGGGACAGCTCCACAACATCCACCCCCAAGAGGCGGCGGGTGGATGTTGGAGGCGGAAGGAGGCCCAGCTGGGACTTGAGGCAAGAGAGAGGGAGGCAAGGCGTGAGGAGATAGAGGAAAGCGAAAGAAAGGAGGACATGGTGAGAGAGGAAAAAAGAAGGCAGGAGGACTTGGAGAGAGAGGAAAAGAGAAGAAGAGAGGATATTGAGAGGGAAGAAAGAAGACAAAGGGAGGTGGTTGGAAGGGAGGAGAGGATGTGGAGGGAGATGAGAGAGAGGGGTGAGAGGAGGGATTTTTCTTCATTTCCTGAAACCAGCGCTGCGCAGTATCGATGTGCGCATTTGAGAGTTGCTGTGATGACGCTCTGATCAAACAGCATATCCACGCCCATAGGCTGTATCAGGTGTCAATCATAGAAAACATGAACCCCCTAATAACTTTTAAAAACGGAGCTTCACAGAAAAAAGAGGACTTGAGCACAAACCAGTCTTACTGTGACTACATGTCAACATCACAAGAAGGGGGGAGAAAAATTTATGTTCTGTGTAATAAATTTCTAAAGTTTGTCCACAGTCCCATAAACTTTGCTGGATTTATGACCTATACTGCAGCCCATCAACAGAGGGTGCTGTTCTCGGAGTGGCTTCACCCAGTGGGGAGGCAGACGCTGTCCATCTTATATACAGTCTATGGCAATAACTCAAGTATTTTGATAACGAAACTTAGGTCAGCACCAGTGGCGGCTGGTGAGAAAAATAATAGATGGGGCAGAAGGTTTGGAAAACAGAGCCCTGTAGGGGGGTCTGGGGGTTTCCTCCCCTGGGAGGTAAATGAAGCATTCTGGTGCTGTCCAAGAAAAATAATTAGGAAACATACAATGTTGACCTACAAAGACAAATGGGGTGGAGATACGGTACATTAACTTATTACCTACCCTACCTACATTCAATGTATTCGTATGATATAGAAACTGACAGCAGCATACTCTTACTCGTGTACATTCACCTGATCCGGACCGAGCTCTGAGCTTCCATTATGCATGGCATTTTTTCAGATCACCTGTGCACACAACACACTTTTGTAACAAGTGATTAAATATACATGATGTTAGTGTCTTTATTTGTGGAAAAGAATGTTTGTCTTACCCGTGAGTCCAACCTCAGAGACACCAAACCCCTCGATACTGATTTGGGGGAGTGTGGAGGATGCCACGTCCTCGGCAGGGAACAGAGACACCATTGATGAGGTGCCGCCTCCGGTCGTTGCCGTCTGGTGTTGGGATAATTTCAGTTTAGCCCGTCGTCTAACATCGAGCGAGTAGCATGCTACTTCAGATACTACTTCAGATACTAGACACGCCCACATTGTAGGATGGTCGCGGTGCATCCTATAGGCATGCTACTGACCCAAAATGCACCGCGGGCTTCTTCTTTGTCCTCTTAAAAGTTGTAGAAGCACATGTGATGCTAGCGCCACCAGCTGCTCTGCCTATTTAGATGTGTCGCGAACGCCGGCTGGCCACAGCAGTGCGCACCATGGCGGAGCAGCAGCAGCAGCAGGCGGGACCGCAGCAGTACAGATGTAAGTCTCATGTAACTTCGCACACTGTCCTAAAAAATGTGCGGTTGTGTCTCTTTGTCATGTCATGGTGTCATATTTGCCCAAGTAATCATTTTATGAGCAAACATGTGGCGACATCATGGAGGTAAAGCTCACTTATTCCATCATTAAACTGCACAGCTGCAGTAATCAGGCAGATCTCATTGAACAAACGATCACCACGGGAGTGAATGAAGGCTAAAAGTCATGGAAAAGCTACTTTGTGAATTTCTAAAGCAGTGCAGGAATATAATACAGCAGCATCCATCACTTGCACAATTACCATTCAAAGAGTCTAAAACGGGCGCAGTACCTACTCTCTGCCTGCGGGGGTCGTCTTTCCCCACCGCTCGTCTAGTGTGTCCGAATTGGGCCAACGTGTTTAGTATGTAGGAGTAGGATCTAGCAGTAGTATGTAGCAGTAGTATGTAGTATGCGAGCGGGCAATTCGGCATCTCTGAATTGCAGCATGTGTCTTAGTTCAGGGTCTGCATACAGCTGAGTGCACTCCTCTGAGTGCACTGCCCTTCTGTGCACTTGAGTACCCTGGGTTAGATGGATCGACTTTTGTGAATCGGAACACTCTACCCCTCGGAGGACTGGTTGAGTCGCAGAGTGCAGCAGTTGTTTTTTAATTGTGCTACCTTGCATACATACTCTACGCATACAAAACAAAAGACACAGACACGAAACAATACATACATATAAGCACACAGGAGTTACTATATACAACAAACAATAAAGTGACAACCAAAAATTGAGAAGGACTTTACAGAACATTTCCACAAAATTTATCCAATGATTGCATGTTTTGTACGAAGGACTATGAGGGCCATATTGAGTTTTTTTTTTTTTTTAAAAAGACTTGGAGATTAAAGTTGTGAATTAACGAGAATAAAGTCATTAATTTATAAGAATGAAGTTGTAAGGTTACCTGTACTTCATCCTCTGGCACATCAGAATTATATTGTCATAAGTATAAGGACTTTAAAAAGAATATACTAGAAATGCATCTTTTCCTCAGGTGGACTTGGAGAAAATTGCTGCTTTTGTGGAGGCAGATGTGGATATGCAGAGGATATATCTGTCAATGCAGCTGTAAATATCCGTGAATGACATTGAGCTTTAGTTTATGATATGAATCCATATGCCATAATAAGGTGTTGGTGTCTCTGCAGGTGTAGGTTACCTCCTGTGTCAGAGACGTGGTGCTCGTCGGAGCTCGACTCCCTCTGGATCTCAAATGTTGATCATCAGTTGGATTGTTTTTTTTAAAAACCACAAAAGTCCTTTGAATGGCCTGCTGATGCATCCACTGATAACCCTGCAGATGACCAGCTTCAGCCATTTCCCCCTCCACCAAAGCAGCTTTATGACTTTATTTAGCTTATGACTTTACTGTCCTAAGTTAACAACTTTAATCTCTTAAAAATAATCTCAATGTGGCCCTGATTCTCTGATGTAGTTTAGGCAGCTGTCTTATGTTTTTGATTGTGGTAGCAGAGCGGCTCAGTTTTTAAGCGCGCTCAGAATCGCGAGCCAAATTGGACACGCTGAGTGCCGCAGTTTTCAGTGTTTCCTGTTATATTTTGTAGTAATTGATTCCTTGTGTTTCTAGTCTGGTTTTACATCCCTGGTTTTCCCTCTTTGTTAATCACCCATAAGTTTCACCTGTGTCTCGTTAGCCTCACCTGTTGCTCGTTTCCCTGTGTGTATATAGTCCCTGTCTTCCCCTTTGTCTTTGTTGGTTCAATGTCTGTTTGTATGTTGATGCGTATTCTTGTGTCCCCTGTTGCTTTCCCCTGTTATTTTGCCCCCAGTGATTTTTATTCCTTGTGTATTTTTGCATTTGGGATTTTTCAGTTGGACATTTGAAATAAGTTTTTTGTTGCTTTCTATTTTGTTCTTTTAATAAATCTTCCTTTTTTTTTTTTGGTCGGCATTTGGGTCTTTTTCTTTGTTTCACCTTGCAAGATGTGACAAGAAAGTTATTAAAGTGACATCTGTTAGGAGCAGGGAAGAGGACATTTAAGCAGCTTAGAAGTTCCTTAAGCAGAGGACAAAGTGGCGGACGGGAGAGGCAGGAGAGATATTATCCAAACACTGGATGACTAAATTAATGAAACGCTACAGACTGGAACTTGCAGGAATCATGTTTGTGGTTAATCTCATTAGAGATGCATTTACTTCTCCAATTAATATGAGG